CATATACCTTTAGTGTTGCCGGTCTTCTTGTCCGCTAAGTATTTGGGGCAGTTCCGCTTCCAGTGACCACTTCCCTTGCAATAAAACACTCAGTCTCAGGCTTGGGTCCATTCTTTGACTTCTTCCTGGCAGCTTACTTACCAGGCGCGGCAACTCCCTTGCCGTCCTTCTTGAAGTTCTTTTTACCCTTGCCTTTCTTGAACTTAGTGGTTTTATTCACCATCAACACTTGATGTTCCTTTTTGATTTCCACCTCCGCTGATTTCAGCATTGAATATACCTCAGGAATGGTCTTTTCCATCCCCTGCATATTGAAGTTCATCACAAAGCTCTTGTAGCTCGGTGGAAGCGACTGAAGGATTCTGTCAATGAACGCGTCATTCGGGATATTAACTCCCAGCTAAGTCAAGCGGTTATGCAACCCATACATTTTGAGTACGTGTTCACTGACAAAACTATTTTCCTCCATCTTACAACTGAAGAACTTGTCAGAGACTTCATATCTCTCGACCCGGGCATGAGCTTGGAAAACCATTTTCAGCTCTTCGAACATCTCATATGCTCCGTGTCTTTCAAAACGCTTTTGGAGCCCCGGTTCTAAGCTGTAAAGCATGCTGCACTGAACGAGGGAGTAATCATAAGCACGTGACTGCCAAGCGTTCATAACGTCTTGGTTCTCTGGGATGGGTGCGTCACCTAGCGGTGCTTCTAGGACATAATCTTTCCCGGCAGCTATGAGGATGATCCTCAGGTTCCGGACCCAGTCTGTATAGTTGCTGCCATCATCTTTCAGCTTGGTTTTCTTTAGGAACGCGTTGAAGTTGAGGGCAACATTAGCGTGGGCCATTTGATCTACAAGACATAGTGTAAAGATTTTAGACTAAGTTCATGATAATTAAGTTCATCTAATCAAATTATTCAATGAACTCCCACTCAGATAGACATTCCTCTAGTCATCTAAGTGAAACATGATCCGAGTCAACTAGGTCATGTCCGATCATCACGTGAGACGGACTAGTCAACATCGGTGAACATCTTCATGTTGATCGTATCTTCTATACGACTCATGCTCGACCTTTCGGTCTTCCGTGTTCCGAGGCCATGTCTGTACATGCTAGGCTCGTCAAGTCAACCTAAGTGTATTGCGTGTGTAAATCTGGCTTACACCTGTTGTATTCGAACGTTAGAATCTATCACACCCGATCATCACGTGGTGCTTCGAAACAACGAACCTTCGCAACGGTGCACACTTAGGAGGAACACTTTCTTGAAATTATTACGAGGGATCATCTTATTTAAGCTACCGTCCTTCTAAGCAAATAAGATGCAAAACATGATAAACATCACATGCAATCAAATAGTGACATGATATGACCAATATCATTTGCTCCTTTTGATCTCCATCTTCGGGGCTTCATGATCATCGTTGTCACCGGCATGACACCATGATCTCCATCATCGTGTCTTCTTGAAGTTGTCTCGTCATCTATTACTTCTACTACTATGGCTAACACTTTAGCAATAAAGTAAAGTAATTACATGACGTTTATGTTGACACGCAGGTCATAAATAAATTAAGACAACTCCTATGGCTCCTGCCGGTTGTCATACTCATCGACATGCAAGTCGTGATTCCTATTACAAGAACATGATCAATCTCATACATCACATATATCATTCATCAAATCCTTTTGGCCATATCACATCACACGACACATGCTGCAAAAATAAGTTAGACGTCCTCTAATTGTTGTTGCAAGTTTTACGTGGCTGCTATAGGTTTCTAGCAAGAACGTTTCTTACCTACGCCAAAACCACAACGTGATATGCCAATTTCTATTTACCCTTCATAAGGACCCTTTTCATCGAATCCGATCCGACTAAAGTGGGAGAGACAGACACCCGCCAGCCACCTTATGCAACTAGTGCATGTTAGTCGGTGGAACCGGTCTCACGTAAGCGTACGTGTAAGGTTGGTCCGGGCCGCTTTATTCCACAATGCCGCCGAATCAAGATAAGACTAGTAACGGCAAGATAATTGACAATATCGACGCCCACAACTGCTTTGTGTTCTACTCGTGCATAGTGACTACACATAGACCTAGTTCATGATGCCACTGTTGGGGAACGTAGCAGAATTTTAAAATTTTCTATGCATCACCAAGATCAATCTATGGAGTCATCTAGCAACGAGGGAGAGAAGAGTGCATCTACATACCCTTGTAGATCACGAGCGGAAGCGTTCAAGAGAACAGGTTGATGGAGTCGTACTCGTCGTGATCCAAATCACCGAAGATCCTAGCACCGAAGACGGCACCTCCGCGTTCAACACACGTACGGAGCGAGGACGTCTCCCGCGCCTTGATCTAGCAAGGAGGAGGGAGAGGTTGAGGAAGAGGGCTCCAACAGCAGCACGGCGGCGTGGTGGTGGTGAAGCTGCAGTACTCCGGCAGGGCTTCACCAAGCTCTTATGGAGGAGGAGAGGTGTTGGGGAGGGGAGGGGCTGCGCCTTGGATGTTGTATGCAGCCCTGCCCTCACCCCTCTATTTATAGGGGAAGGGGGCCGCCCCCCTCTAGATGAGATCTAGAGGGGGGCGGCGGCCAAGGGGAGGGGGGCTTGCCCCCCCAAGCAAGGGGGCGCCCCCTTAGGGTTTCCCCCAAACCCTAGGCGCATGGGCCCTAGGAGGGTGTGGCGCCCTAGCCCACCTGGGCTGGTTCCCTTCTCCATACAGCCCATAAGGCCCTCCGGAAGAGGTGGCCCCTCCTGGTGGACCCCCGGAACCCCTACGGTGGCCCCGGTACAATACCAATATGCCCCTGAACCTTTCCGGTGACCGTATGACAACTTCCTACATATAAATCTTCACCTCCAGACCATTCCGGAACTCCTCGTGATGTCCGGGATCTCATCCGGGACTCCAAACAACATTCGGTAATCACATACAAGTCTTCCTAACAACCCTAGCGTCACCGAACCTTAAGTGTGTAGACCCTACGGGTTCGGGAGACATGCAGACATGACCGAGACGACTCTCCGGTCAATAACCAACAACGGGATCTGGATACCCATGTTGGCTCCCACATGCTCTACGATGATCTCATCGGATGAACCACGATGTCGAGGATTCAATCAATCCGTATACAATTTCCTTTGTCAATCGGTACGTTACTTGCCCGAGACTTGATCGTCGGTATCCCAATACCTTGTTCAGTCTCGTTACCGGCAAGTCACTTTACTCGTACCGTAATGCATGATCCCGTGATCAATCACTTGATCACATTGAGCTCATTATGATGATGCATTACTGAGTGGGCCCAGAGATACCTCTCCGTCATACGGAGTGATAAATCCCAGTCTCGATTCGTGCCAACCCAACAGACACTTTCGGAGATACCTGTAATGTACCTTTATAGTCACCCAGTTACGTTGTGACGTTTGGCACACCCAAGGCACTCCTACGGTGTCCGGGAGTTGCACAATCTCATGGTCTAAGGAAATGATACTTGACATTCAGAAAAGCTACAGCAAACGAACTACACGATCTTTGAGCTATGCTTAGGATTGGGTCTTGTCCAACACATCATTCTCCTAATGATGTGATCCCGTTATCAATGACATCCAATGTCCATAGTCAAGAAACCATGGCTATCTTTTGATCAACGAGCTAGTCAACTAGAGGCTCACTAGGGACGTGTTGTGGTCTATGTATTCACACATGTATTACGATTTTCGGATAACACAATTATAGCATGAACAATAGACAATTATCATGAACAAAGAAATATAATAATAACCATTTTATTATTGCCTCTAGGGCATATTTCCAACACCCTCTCCCTCGCCTGCGTCCTTTCCCGCCTAAAGCCAGCTGCCCACATTCATGCCGGCCCAGAGCAAATGTGACGTCTCACTGACGCCGGCCGCACCGTATCCCCGGTGTCCTTGCATGTTCAATGACGGAGAGATGTTTACTGGACAGGACGGGACATATATCTAACACGTCCGTTCAATGCCCCGCCCGTTCGACCGCTTTCTTTATTGAAAAATGTCAAAAATGTAATGAAGGTTCTCCGGTTTAGACGAAAATCGCCTGGTTTGCATGTAATTCGTCCGGTTTGTTGAAATCCGGTTTGAAATATATGTGACTACAGTTGGATGACCAACTCCCGCATCATTGAGATGCGGTGCTCGGTTTGGGTCAGCATCGGAGATGCCCTTGAAAACTTATTTGTGGTCACACCTCCAAGACAGGCAGACAACAGCCTGCAGATCTTCAGCTCGTTGTGCACGTACACCCGTGGTCGCCAGGCCTCCTATGCGAGCATGTAATTTGTTGTAAATGTCCTATTTACGAAAAGATATATGAAATTACAACTATTCACACGCAATAGTTAAATGTTGTTCCGGTCTCAAATAGAATCAGGGACATTAGAGTTGCTAAGTCTGTATGGCTTCATCAGATTTATGATTTGTAGCATCAACGTTGCAACGGGATCCTCCTATCCTTTTCCAGGAGATGACAGATTTAAACATGGCCAATTAAGACTTTCATCAGCCCTGCATCAACAAAATGGAATGACGCGTAAGATTGTAAAGTCAAAACTCACTGGTTTAGCATATACTGTCACTGCAGAATCACCTGCCTGCACTGCTGCACCATGCAATCCACTCTACATTTCTAGTGAAATAAGGTACCAACCGCTGCCTGCTAAGCACAATGGTCCAGAGCTGAGGACTTCTGACGGAAGCGTCGTAAACACCATAGTCGAGTGGTAACACGGAGCTTCAGCAGGAATTCAACAGAGAAGAAGAACCAAGCTCGAGTTAAGTTCCGAGGAACCCTGCTGTTCTCACTCCACAGCTGTGCTGTATCACTGATTCACTGCCTCAAGCACATGCGCTGCATCAACGCCGGCATGACAATTCCGGCGCTCAGACAGGATTTAGCAGGCAAGAGTCTGATGCAGATCATTACAAGAGACGGTGCGAGCCTAATTCTCTATGTTGATCCAGCTAAACCAGGTGGTTTATGCACTCCCCTTTCTTTAATCAAGGTCCTCATGTTTTCAGCTGCATCCCACTTGCCCGACTCCGCGCTGATGTTCGACAGCAGAACATAGTTCGAGGTCTTGCGAGGTTCCAGTTCGAATAACTTCTCAGCTGCAAACTGCGCGAGCTCGTCGTTCTTGTGCACCCGGCATGCTCCAAGCAATGCACCCCATACACCAGCATTAGGCTGGATCTGCATTCCCTGAACAAGTTTAAAGGCTTCGCTCAGTCTCCCAGCTCTTCCAAGTAGATCCACCATGCAAGCGTAGTGTTCAGCCACAGGCTGTAATGAGTATTCTTTTGTCATCGAGTTGAAGAAACGCAATCCTTCGTCAATTAATCCTGCATGACTACAGGCTGACAAGACACCCACAAATGTGACCTCGTCGGGTCGGACACCATTGGCTTCCATTTCTCGGAAAACTGAAATAGCCTCGGTCCCACGACCATTAGAAGCATAGCCATCAATGAGCGCATTCCATGAAACAATGTCCTGACCTGCCATCTCATCAAATATTTGTCTTGCTTCTAAGATCCGTCCACACTTGGCATATGCAGAAATCAGGGAATTTCCAGCAAAGGAATCACTGATATACCCACTCCTGACAAGAAGACTGTGGAATTGCCTCCCGACTTGCAAAGCAGCCAAGTCCGCGCATGCGCTGAGACAACTCGCATATGTAGACCAATCAGCCATCTTTGCATCCCTTCTCATGAGCAGGAAATATTGGAGTGCTTCGAAACAGAGCCCATTCTGAACAAACCCGGAGATAACTGAATTCCACGATACTGCATTCCTCTGATTCATCTTTCTGAATATACCTACTGCCTTGCGCATTTGACCATCTTGGGCATAGCCAGCAATCAGGGTGTTCCAAGAAACCATATCCTTGTTTGGCATTTGCTGGAACAACACCATGGCCTCGTCAAGCATTCCACAGTGGACATAGCCAGATATCATTGTATTCCAGCACACCGCATCTCGGACCTCAAGTGCATCAAAGATGTGGCGTGCGTCATCGATCATCTTGCTCTGCAGATAGCCATGCATCAGTGCAGTCTTCGCTGCAAAACTATCAAAAGGCATCTTGTTCAGCATATCCTTTGCTTCTTGGAGCTTCCCAGCACGCACTAATGCACTTATCATTGTCGTCCACGAAATTGAGTTCTTATCTGGCATCTCTGAAAACAATCTATAGGCCTCATCCATGTGCGAAAGCCGCAAATACCCACCAAGCATCACATTCCAAGACACCACATTCCGTTCAGGCATTCTGTCGAACAATTCTCTCGCCTCACCAATCCTCCCTGCCCGGCAATAACCATTGAGCAAGGTGACCCAAGAGACGACATTAGGTGACGGAACTCTCTCAAATAAGCCAGCAGCCGCATTGAGATCTCCAGCGCGCACATAGCCCTCCAGCATCAAGTTCCAGGACACCATGTCCCTTTGCGGCATCTCGTCAAAGAACTGGGCCGCCCGAACTATTTTCTCATTGCGGGTCAACCCGACCAGCACCGAGTTCCAAGAAACTATGTCAGGGGCCGGCATTTCCCGCAGCAACGTCACCGCGTCATCAAACCTGCCATTCTTCGCGTATCCAGAGATCATGGCATTGTAGCATGCCGTGCACTTCTTCCCAGGTATTCGATCGAGCGTCTCCCTGGCAAGCTTGAGCTCGCCCGCGCGTGCATAGCAGGAGACCATCAACGTCCAGGAGAAGTCGTCCCGGGCAGGCATTGCGTCGAACAGCTCCCGGGCGTCCGCTACACGGCCGTGGTCAGAGCAGGCCGCGATCATGGCGTTCCAGGAGACGAGATTGCGGCGGGGAATCTCGTCGAACAGGCGTCGCGCGTCCGCGAGGCGGCCGTGGCGCGCGAGCGCGGAGAGCATGGCGTTGTAGGAGACGGTGTTGCGGTGGGGCATCTCATCGAACAGGCGGCGTGCCGCGGCCAGCTGTCCCGAACGCGCCAGGCGCGTGAGCTCCTGGTTGCTCCGGAACACTGCGGAGGTCGCCGCCGCGGCCACGCCGGTGGCCTTGGCCGCGGCCATGAGGTGGCTAGCCGGCGGTGGCGGGCGAAGGTGTGCGACTGACTGCACTGAGGAAGGGAGCAGCGGGTTCAGACTTCAGACTTGGAGCACAAACTGGGCCGGCAGCCGAATACTACGACTTAAACTATGGAAGCCCAACCGATCTGACGTTAATAGGCCTGTGCAAATTTTAAATCGATTTTACAGCCCAAGTAAAACGCTTAGATTCATTGGAGGAAAATCATGCCTGGAAATCGAATAACCAACAAAATTCCAAGGACTGCTAAAAAATCCAAGGTTTCTACTCCCACTGTCTCAAAATGTAAGACATTTATTTTACACTAGTACCTTAGAAGATGATTTATTCCATGTCAATTTCAAAGAAAAAAAAATACACCACATGCATGAGCTCCGGGAGGATGGAGGCCATGGAGGCAGCGACAACGGAGCAGCGGAAGGGCGTGAGTGAAAGTGGCGGGAAGAAAAGAGCTCTACCCGTCAAATTAGGAAGTTGCCACTATCAAGCCTTGTTGGTGGGCCCAGCGAGGATGAAGGTCAACCGAGTCTCCTTGTTGGGTCCATCATGGATAAAGGGCTCAACCGAGTTTCCTTCACTTAGATAAGCTCAACTGGATCTCCTCTCCGCTGCGGTTGACGTGGCGAGTGATGGTCTCAGATGGAAGGAAATGGAACAAACAAGACGATAATGTGACGACAACAAGCATAGACGACACACAAGGGCATGCAACTAATTTCTTCAAGCGGTAGCGACATATACCGAATTCATCAGGTTTGAGTGGCAGACCTTGAATATTCCAGTTCAGGAGTGGCATGAACCGAAAAATCCGTTTTTCAATTGAGTGAGTGTTTTTTCCCAATACACAAAATAATTTTTTTAACATGGCGGGCAGAACTGCATATAAGAACATATACAACCAGATTTGTCAAATCCGCCTCCTAAGGCCTCATTCGGTTTGGAGGAAACCAAAATGTAGGAATTATGAATAGTATAGGAATTTGATAGGATGACATTTGCCATCCTAAGGAATTGTTTTGCCTCGTTCCTACGCATAAAATGAGCTTTGAGTGGATGTGTAGATTCCTTCAAAAATAGATGAAATGAATAGTATTTCTATGAGATTCATGTACGCGTTTCCTACAAACCGAACGCATCTATAGAAAATTTTCTTATGAAATCCTTATTCCTACGTTTTTCCTATAGAAATCCTCCAAACCGAACGAGGCCTAAACATCTACGGATGCATCCAAGCACGACCATGGGCAGCACCGGACGACCATTCAAATGACTTGCCGGACAACCACACTCCTCATATCAAAATCCTCAAATCCATGAAAATCCATGCATGTCAACCATATAACACAAATTCATCACCAACTCAACAAAGCAAAATAAACCATAATTCAACAATTCAAACATGCCAAAAATAAAATTCAACTTCGAGGGCGTGTCTGGCCAACATGATGAATCACTCACGTCTTGTCTATGGCGTCTAACTATCCAGAATCACTTCCCATTCAGACATCGAAACATTGTCAGTTGCGGGTGAGGCGGATGGCGGCTTCCTTGTTGGCAGCATGGTGGATGGGCACAGGGCGGCCGGCCGCAGCGGAGGGGACACATCCACGTCGATTTCGACCACCTCCTTGACCGCAACTTTCTTCGCCGCAGCATCCTGCTCGTGCTGGCGGGCACGACGCTCCCTCAGGGCGACGTTCTTTGCCCTGCAGCTTACCGCGAACAGACTCATGCTGGCAGTGGGGGGCGGATTACTCAATGACGACATCTACGACGGCGTGGATGGGGGAGCAAGGGTGGAGGACGGCGACGTCTCGAACATGGGAAAAGAAGGATGGATGTCTGAGGAGTCTGGTCTGGTCCAACATGACAGCCAATCAGTGAGAGGGCCGTCCATTCATATATACAGAGGGCATTTGAGGAGCCCGCTGTAGATGATGCTCTAACTTCTCTAATATTTTATTTTAATTGGGTATGAGCCATCGATTTTTGGATATGGACCGTGGGGGGAGAATCTCCAACCCTTCACCGCTAAGGAGCATCTTCCTTTACAACCAACCTTTCCCTGCAGCTCATATTCCCTTTGAGCTTGAGCTACAAGCTCGGCGCTCGTGTATACAGTTGCAGTTTGGGTTGGCACTGCCTATATACCACCCACCTCTGCGCGAGTGTTTAAGATAGTCCCACAGATAAACGCAAAAAATTGACACACACCCACACAGTAGCAATGGAGATGGGACGGTCACTATGGCTCGCGCTGCTGGTCCCTGCGATCATGGTGTCCTTCTACGGCGAGGCTGCCATGGCGGACGCCCAGACATCGACGGCGGGAGGGTCACCGCCGGACACGAACGTGCTGTGCGTCAGCAAGTGCGGGACGTGCCCGACGGTGTGTACCACGCCGCCGCCGCCGCCGGCGGGCAGCGACGGCAGTGGCTACTCCTCGCCGTCGCCTCCGCGCTCTATGACGACTCAGCCATCTCCGCCGGCCGTGCCGCAGCCGCAGGCCAAGGGAGGGAAGCCCAGCGGCTACTACTACTTCTTCACCGCCGGGAGCGGCCGGAGCTGCGCCGCCTCGAGCGCTCGTTACACGCTGCTGCTCCTGGCGCTTCTTCCCGTCGTCGCTGTTTAGGCTGCTGAATCTGGTGTGGCGCTCGGTGAGGAGTGAGGACCCGGCGGCAACTCGATCGGCTCCTACGTGTGGTTCGCTATTGGTGACTAATTTATCTGGTTAAGTTTCCCATGTGCTTCCCTTCGATCGAGATGATTTTCGATAGTCACTGGTGTAATTTGGAACTTTCGTTGTCAACCTGAATTTGGCTGATCATCATCCCTTGTGTTGTCTCTGTTTTTGTTTCGCTCAGCACACCCCGTTTTGCTGGGCCCCACTCTTTACAAGGCAGGTATAAAATAAAGAAGTACTTCCTCTATAGGCTAGTAATGCTCACGTGCAACCCACGTTAATATTTAGGCAATATATTAATTGCACACGGATATCAGGTATGTTATTATTTGTGTGTTAATCATATGATTAATGCAATATTTGGTATGATAATAATTGCACGTTAAACACGCTTAACACTCGCCATTGGAGCAATAAAGGTTGTTGGATTAACTTAGTTCGATGGCTGAGATCAGTTGGATCTGCCCATTTGAATCTTTTTATATTGGTATAATAATATAATATAAATATAGAAGATATAGATTAATATGAATCTTTCAAGCCTCCTTTGGTTTAGAGGAATTTCATAAAAATTCTAGAGGATAGAATTCTTATAGGATTTTTTCCTTTAGAGCCCTTTGGTTCATAGGAATGGATTCCTATTCCTACATAGGATTAGTTCCTATCCTCCACATTTCATAGAAAAATAAAAAAGAGCCTAGACTCAATGGAAAAATTCCTTTGGTGTCAACCAAATGACATCTTGTTTCCTATTCCTACTCATAGGATTTGAGATACATGTCATCTCATTTCCTACAAGATACCTATTCCTATGATAATCCTATCCAATGAACCAAAAGAGGCCTCAAATCACTAAAATAGTGATCTAAATGATCGATCTTATATTAGCTTATAGAGGAAGTAGTTAGGACGGGCCTCTTTTGGTTCATAGGATAGGATTATTATAGGAATAGGAATCTTGTAGGAAATGAGATCCTATGAGTAGAAATAGGAAACAAGATCATTTGGTTGACACCAAAGGAATTTTTCCATTGAGTCTGGGCTCTTTTTTATTTTGCTATGAAATATGGAGGATAGGAACCAATCCTATGTAGGAATAGGAATCCATTCCTATGAACCAAAGGGCTCTAAAGGAAAAAAATCCTATAAAAATCCTATCCTCTAGAATTCCTATGAAATTCCTCTAAACCAAAGGAGGCCTAAGTGGATTAAAACTCGGAGTTTCAGTCGGTTGAAGTCAGCACTGTAGGAACTACTCCCTCCGTTCGGAATTACTTGTCGCAGAAATAGATGTATCTAGACGTATTTTAGTTCTAGACACATCCATATCCGAGACAAGTAATTTTGAACGGAGGGAGTAGATGATATGCCAACACTGGATGGAAAACAAAATTACATCTCAAATGTGAAAATATAGAATATGTATACAAAGGCAGAATCATTTTTACTGGAAAATTGTGAAAAAGAGAACTCGGCCATTAGAAAGAAACCCGAAGGCGTTGCTTTCTATGTCAACGAAACGACCCGAAAGCTGGCTCCACCATCCGTGGTGGCGTAATTGCACACTCAGCGAGAGAACCTTTTTGCTAGAACCATGGTTATAACCTTACATCCAGAGGACTTGCCATCATGCTAGAAGCACATTATTGAAAATATTGGAAAATAATATGAAATTAATATTACATGGAATACTAACATGAAAGATAATGGCGAAATGTATCTAAGTAGATTCGTCCTAACATCTCATGTGTTCCAGTGTAGCAAATAATAGCATGTATTCTTTCGAAGGATATATGACATAGCTGCAGCTGAGGGGCACCTATTTTTTTTCTGTTGGGGGCACACCATGTATAAGGAAAATCACATGATTTAAGAATTGGACATGTAGGCTATCTTCTCTATCCTCTTCATTATATACCACATATATGTGGGGGCAAAATCAACGGACGCCGCGAGAAGGAGGTTGCAAGGACGGGGAGAACCTATTACAGGGAGGGGATGCAACGTACCACCAGGTGATGGGTGTCAGACAACAAAGCCTTCTAGTTCGTCCCATCAAGGTCGTTGACTATTCGAGGCAGAAACCCGTTAGTCTTGAGCAGGGGTGCAAGCACATAGTTGTGCAGATGAACGGAACACAATAGAGGAGCTACTTAAAGGGGAGATCAAATTGTGTCAATTACCACGGCATGGAAAGAGAATAATATTAATATGTTTCAATTGCAACTGATTAGTGGGATTTAATGGAGATGGAGAAGAGTGAGATGGGTTTGCCAAGGAAAAAACGTGAGGCTACAATAG